CTAACCCAGCTGCCTCTTTCTGGAATTCTATCCCACCTGTCACCCGCCATGTTTCAACGGTTCCTCGTTCAAAGCTCTCCTCTTCAATCACCTACTCCTTCCCCAGTTTAATTAATATTATTTTATACTTAATTACGTATCCGACATTTCAAATGTTTCCCAGAGTTTATTATAGTACTATTTTCCATACACTAATTATTATTATAATCTTTTTTTATTTTTTAATGTTATTTTGTTGATTTAATAATTGTATATTTTTTCTTATCCTTTACGTTGCATTTTTTATTTATATTAGTGAATCTGGCCACGCTGTTTTATATCACGCGTATAAAATATCTAGTGTTGTATTAATTTTATTTTTAAAGGACTTTCTCCCAGAATAATAAAGCAATTTTTCATTTCATTCTATTTCAATGGACACAGTACCCCAAATTCACACCTTATCTTTCTATTAAGTTGGTTTTAATCCTGCAATGAATTGTAAGTGTAAACTTCATTGGTGAACGTTTGTTTGTTTGGATGTCTAGGCGCAAAAACATCCAGGTCATCAGCGCCCGATCGACTAAATAATAAGGTAAAAAATAATTAAATAAAAGGGTTAATAGAATAAAAATAAATAAATAAAAATAGACATTTATAGATAATAAGATAGAATAGATAAATAAACTTTAAAACCAAATAGCAATAAATCAATAAATGAGTTGAAATTAATAACCAAATGAACTTTTAAAAAGAAATGAAATAAAGTAAATAAATAAAATAAAAAATAATAATAAATCTGCAAAGGATCTTAATTTATAAACTCGTCATATATGTTGTTTAAGTCTTGCATTATCTAGGAACTTGATAACTTTGGTAACGATTTCTTCTTGATTTCCCAGGGATGCTGATATATTCTGGGGTATTCCGAGATCTTTTAACCTTGCGGTGTAAAAAGGGCACTCTTCCAAAACATGTTTTATGGTCAGTGACTGGTCACACTTTTGACATCTGGGGATAAGATCTTTTGTTATGAGGTGAAGGTGTGTCAGTCTATTATGTCCGATCCTCAGCCGCGTGAGGACGACCTCTTCTCTACGACTGCTGCGTCTGGAGCTGGCTCATATTAAAAAGCCCGTATTAAAAAGCTCATATTAAAAAATAATGTTCATTGCGACAGGTCTCTGACTCTTGAAAACAGGTGATTAGCTCTATCGATTACGAAAACAAAAGCTGTTGATTGTACATTATCACCTTTCTCGCTCTATAAATAACAATTTACGACCTGCCCTTATCATAATATTTAATTACACATATCTTAGGATCGGCTGGATATCCCGCTGGAGCAAGATATCTATGAGCTATATATCTTGGCGTTGACTTAGTGCTATAGATAGAGCGTTGGGCTGAGGGCTGGTTTACTATGTGACGCTGTCCCCAACCCGGGCGTGTCATTGCTCAATGTCACACTTAACAACTCACTATGCCTTACTATGTGGTTTGAAGCGTTGAGTAATAGTCAGCTGTTGTATATCTCATATTTATATAACAAGGTTGGCATAGTACATATACATAGACATATGTATATGTGAATATGTTATATATATTCAATAGTTTTTTAATTTGTTAATATTCAAAACTATATAAAAATTAGCTTAAGCAACTGGGTTGTCTGTTTTATATATATATAGTTGTCTATGGGAATTATATAAATACTCGGTGGGAATTTTAACTCATTATAATTCCCCCGCCCTCTCCCCCGAACCGAGAAATACTCAGTGTAGCTTAAAGGGCAAGTAAGGAGAGAAAAAAAATATATTATCGAATATCGATATCGTTTCTTCAATATTTTAATTTAAAATTAATAGTATCGTTTTCTGAAAGCGCTAGGAATTATATATGAATCTGATCAATAGAAAAAAAAAATATACTCATCTAGCCTGCTTCATGTGGAATGTAGTTCGTTGTAGAAGAAAATAACAATATTTCGGTAATATCTCCTATAGATAGAGTTGAATAGTGGGCGTTGGAACCTTCTCAATCTGTAAACTTAATTTGCCCAAATTTATTAGTTAGAACCTTCTTAAACCTAAACCGCGAATTATCAAATAAGTCTATGTAGAATGCAAATAAATTATCACTTCACTATATTCGATCCATGGGGGATGGAAGGCATAATTGGTTGAATGGAAATTTATGGGAATAAGCTGAGATTGACGAAGATGGACTGGAACTAGAAAATTAATTTTACTAAGGAGGATTGAAGAAATGATATTTCCATTAATTAATTTAAAGAGGAAATGGTATTTCCATTAATTAATTTAAAGAGGAAATTACATCTTTTTTGATGGGCCTATGTGCTAGAGAATCAATATTTATATTTATTTTTTTAAAGCTAAGTAGCGATTATAGTTTTATTGTTTGATTTTCCATATATTATTAGTAAACTTTGTAGTTGTATTGCGTCTTTATTAATTAATGTAATAGTTCTGGCCAGAAGTAATTTTTTTTTTTTTTTTCTGGATCATTTGTTATTCCTAAGGGAATTCTTCTTAGAATAAAGTTATTTTTCAATGTCTATTTATAATATTCAATATGTGTAATATGTAATATGAAAAGCTAGACTTATACAAAAGGACTTTTGTAAAAAAATAGTAGAATTGGATATGTGCATGAAAAAAAAAACAACGCGTAAATGAGAGCTGCAAGTGATAAAAAACGTTTATTAGATTAGTATAATACTTTATAAATAATAAAAACTGGTTTATATATATTTTTTTAAATTAGTAATGACGGTGCACGCCAGTACTCACGGAGGAGTAGAGGTGGGAACTGGGAGGCGTGGCTTAAGTCCAAATGAAAATTTATATGTACATTATTGCCATGGGATTCTTATCATATGTTTAGGTTTTAAAAATTAAATTATTCCTGTTTAAGATAAAATACTTCGATGAAGTATAAAAGTTTTGAAAAGCTAAATTGAGGAAAATAATTGTTCTATTATCTCCTAGGCACTTTGGATAATTTACGCTTGGGTCAGTTATCTCTGGAAGGTATATATGGAAAATAAAAGTTGAACAAAATTATTGGGACTAAAAATTAGGTCTTTCTATTACAAAATTTGTTGATCAATCTACTGATATCATAGCAATGGATGTTTAAAATATAGGATATATGTATAAAAAAAATGAAAATAAATTTATTTGAGACAAGCGACTAACTTGGAATCCTCATACTAGACTGAAACGACGAGAAACCGCTCGACGTTTCCGATTACTTCAGCACTTACTAGACAAACGCTCTAAACTTCCCATTAATTACAAAAGACTCATATACTTGACTATAATAAGACCTATTTGGATTTACGGAGTTGAGCTTTGGGGCTCCATTATTCATGGAATTGGAAACCATCGAATTCCTCTCGCATCCAATCCTTACAATCCAAAATCCTTCGTAAAATCCTCAATGCTCCTTACTTAGTCTCTAATAAAATTATCCATAAAGATCTTAATGTTCCTTATGTTTCAGATCTGGCCCAATCCAGATACCTATCCTTCCATAATAAACTTCAGAATCATCCCAACCCTCTCATTTCTAACCTTGCTTCCTCTTCAATTCCTGATAACCCTCCGAGGCGTCTGAAAAGAAGATGGCCCCGTGATCTCCTAATGTAGTCATGTCATTAGAGTGCTACCATTGGGTAGTTACTCAGCAAGTGTATTCATGTCATTATATCTATTATATCCAAATTTACTAGATGTATTTATGTAATATAGTTGTAAATGTCATTAAGAAAAAAAAAATTTATTCGAAACCTTCTAAATTTCCCAAGGCCAATTAATTTTATTCGAGTTTACTCATTAAGTATCGCTGCTGTTAGCGCAAAAGGTATTATGTAAAAACTGAGTTTTTTAAAGATGTTAGTAAAAGCTCTTTTCTTAAGGTGCGTTTAGACATTTCTCAAACTATGGGAATCGCAAATATTTAATTGTTTTTTTCTTTAGTGTTCTTGTTTTATGTTTTTGATGTTTTTCATCTGATGTCGGTAACAAGAGAAATAAAAAAAAAATTGGGATAAGCACTAATGTCGCAATTAATTAAGTTTGCTAATTGTGTTTCCTATAGTTTGTGAAATGTCTAAACGCTCATTAAGAATTTTAAAGTATTGTTTTATACTTTATTAAATCGTGTCTTTTATGAGTTCCAAATTTAAAATTTTCAATTGTCACAATTCCTATCGAGTCAGGAGACTTTTCATTTTATTGACTGTTTCCAAGCTATTTTATGAAGATTATTGGAATTAAAAGAAGGTTATTGGAAGGATGAAAATGATGATTAATATATTATTCTGCTGTACAGATCTCTTTTCATCAACTTATTAACATCCGCCTAAAACTTCGGAAATAGCTTCATCTCATCGTAACCTACGAGCTTTTCGTATACAAAAGTTTTGTAATTGGGGCGTTTTCGATTTGAGTTGAAAACTTTGTCTATTTAATTTTGTGCTAAAAACTCATTATCACCTATTTGGTTTCCACTGTAATCGTAAGATAATTTTATCGCAAAATCGAAAACAAAGAATGCCTACAAAAATAATAGCCCATTTTGCGTGACCTACCCTCCCAACATATCAAAATTACGAGGTCAAACAGCCCAACATCTTTGTAGACCACCTATTTTTTCGATTTTGTAATAAAATTATCTTACTATTCAAGTGGGCAAATGGTTATTTATGAGTTTTTATGATCTAATTAAATAGACAAAGTTTGCCTACCTACAGATAGAAAAAGCTCCAATTCCAAGATTTTTCTTAAATAAAATTGCTGTTCTTTAAGAGGAGATGAAGCTATTCACGAAGTTTCAGACGAATGTTAATAATGATAAAAAGGGGTCAGTACTACAGACTACAAGACTAATGGGGAAATGGTTATTTATGAGTTTTTAGAATCTCTTTAATTTTTTTTTTTTTAAATTTCTTTATTGAGTATTACAACAATCTGTCTCTTGGACATTGGTTATAGTGAGGTAGGATGACATTTACACTATATGTACAAAAAATAAAATAAAATAAATAGAAACAAAATAATAATCAAAAGTATATACAATAGATAATAATATAAAATAACCTAAAAAATAAGAAAACAAAAATTAAGCAATTTAATAAGAAGCCTAAATTTCGAAAATTTATGTAGGCAAAAAATTGTAGTTTACATTGAAATGAAGTCATTCATGAAGTTTTAGGCTGATGTTAATAATTTGAAAAAAAAAAGGGTCTGTGCGGTGGACTATTTTAGCTATAAAATTTAAAGGACTACATACTCTGTTTTTAATAACATTACTGACCATTGGTTGTATGAAACTAAAATTTATTTTTATAATTACTTTTGGAAAAACAAAACACACAGTAATTCCGCTCCACGTTTCTTCACTTTACGTTGAACTGACACATTCCACCGAAAAAAACGAGGATAACGTCAAATATTTCGATTAATTCCTTCTTTTAATGTTCTTTTTTATTGGTGGAAGACTGAAGTCTTGCGGATCTAAGTCCTTTATGCTGAACAAGGTTAAGGTAGCAATGTTGACCAAATCCTTGGGTATGCATTGATCCGTTATCAGGACGGACTGCATGCCGGCCTCTTTGGCCGCTATCGCTCCACAGACGCCGCTGTCGATGACCAAGTACTTGGAGTAGTCGTCAGGTCCGCCGAAGAACATCTTCGCAGCCTTGCACAGCATTTCACGCGACGGCTTTCCTTCATTGACCTGATCCCCGTGAACGTAGTGGCAGAAACAGTTATCCAAGCCGTACTTTTTCAAGCGATCGTAAAGTATCTTGAAACCTTTGGCGTTCGAACTGGATATCAACGCGAGCGGTATTCTGTTCTGTACGAGGTAGTAGATAAAGTCATCGACCCCTTTAATAAGTCTCGCTTTGTGGTAGCGCTCCCTCTGGTATTGCCAAACACCATGGGCGTAAACTTTTTCGTTAAACGGCATCATATACTCCTGCGTTACGATTTTCCCTGCGTCTTGGTTTCGCATACTCATTATTTCGTATCTTGTTTTTAATTTTAAATATTTCTTCCATTTCATGAGGTAGTCTTCATGGGATGAGATGTTGTATTTGATGGCATCTAGTATCACACCATCGAGGTCTATTATTGCGTGGGATATAGGTTTTGTGTCTTTGCTGTAAGAACTAAAGCAGCCTTCTTTTTTTTGTTCCACATCAGGCATTGGGCTCGTGTCACATTCTGGTAAATGACAGTCATTTTTTTTCCATGGCGGAGAATTGCTGGAATGACGGATGGTTATGAAAAGACGTCGAAGAGCCATATCTGTTTGTGTAATATAAATGTTTATACTGACGAATATGTGTTGTAATGAATTAATATTTTGTTCTATATGTTGTATGTACTAGTGTCGTGGTTATACTACTTACATTATATTTTCATATGTTTTTTTCATTTTTTCACATGTTACAATCTGTGAAAACTTGTAAAATTTATGTATATATATACACGGAATAATATGAACTCCATTATATATTTTTTTGTGAAATCTGCCCACTAAATACAGAAAAATCCTAATATCGTTCATTAAAAAAATGGATTCAGGTTACTTTAGTGACTCGATTCTTATCTGAAATTACTACTCTTTTTTCTTATAACCTAGTTTATTAAAATTATTTTTCTGTAGATTACTGGCCGCTCCACAAGAAGTACAGTGGTGTGAAAAATTCTTAGAACAAACCAGATTTTTATAAAAAAAAATTTTTTTTTGTTTATGATAAATGTTTCAGTTTAAAGAGAGGGGAGATCTTATAAAGAGGGATAATGAAGAATCTTGTTAATTGTAAACTGATTTAACCTTGCAGAGATTTTATATTTATATATACATTGATTTTTTTATTTATTTATTTAGACATATAATATTCTGACTCGATGACAATAATTATAGTGATAGTATTATTATTTTATTTATTTATTTTATTAGTATTATTTTCAACTAAAAACAAGCCATGGGACCGGTCTATTGTGTTAAATTTTTCACCCTCTGAATGATGTTACCTTATTGTTCAAAGTTCACACTACATTATTATCCACTTCAGTCAATCAAGAAAAGTTGTATAAACTATAGGAAGCTGAATGTATCAGTTAAAATTGGTCTAATGTTGAAATTATATTTTTTGATCGCTAATTTAATTTAATATTCCATAATTTATTTTTGTTTCCCATCTAATGTTAATTATTTCTTGATGATTTGGTGGCGTGTTTTTAAATTTAAATTTGGAGAACTCTTGTCAATTGATGGAAAACATATTGCGAAACGGTACCATAGCATTCTTTCAGACCATGCAATTCCATCTGCGTTAAATCTGATTGGGCAAAACTTTATTTTTTAGCAAAAAAAAAACGATCAAAAATAAAAATAATCCCGGACGGATCCACAGGTGGATGCTTTGGGACTAAAGTCCCCCCCCCCCTCAAAATTGTAAAATACAGCCATATTTTATGAAAAAAAATATATTAAAAAATTATCTCTTAAAGTATTATTGTTCGTGTAATTACATTTAAAGGACTTTAGGAATCACTTAAATACCATCTGATATAGTTAGTTAGTTTCTTTCTTGTTTTCCAAAGTAATTATCGTTATTTTTATGAAAAAAAAGCTTTCGGGCTGAAGATCTCGCCCCCCAAAATTAAATCCTGGATCCGTTAGTGAAAGTAATATTAAATAGACCACAAACATTATGAAATATACAATTTTATTACATTTTGTTAAATATTTTCTTATTACTAATTCATGGCTCACTAAGTCGATAATAAACAAAATATATTTTTTTGATTCAACTTTTATATTTTTTATTTATTTTATCTTTCTTGTATCATTTTTTTTTTTTTTTTTTATATCTCACATAACTGCCTCGACTTCCACGAGCTTAAGTAAGCTTTAGGTTATGTTCTCGTCTTTCTAATACCTAATATAATAAATAATAAAATATATAATAAGATAAACATCTTCTATTAAAAAATAAAGTGATATAACTCACCCCCTCTGATCGGTAAGAAGAAAATATTTATAATAGTAAAAATAATACGCATAAGAAAATAATATGGTTCTTAACATCGTAATTATTGTTATTCGTAGTTAATAATTCGATTATTAGATCTCAATTCCACAAATTATATTTATTTAAATATTTTAAACAATGATTACCGACTATTATAATTGAGAAATAATGTCCCTAATGGTGGGTGATTTACAATAAAGGGTTAAGGATCGGAAGAATCCCTCCTCTTTCGGACTGATTCGGTTATTTTCGGGAATATAGGAGTAGCATGCTCTTGTTGATCTTGAAACCATCCGCCATGTTGGAGTAGCGAAAAAGAACTAGTTCGGGATTGTTTAAACGCTGTTAGCAGCTAGGAGATTGGGTAATCCAACTTTCTCTGCTAAGAGAGGAGCTGTAAGCAAGAGATACTATTTTATTGAAGGGGTAGAAGAATGGTGGTAAATAGTAGTCAAGAGAATAATAAAAAGAGGCAATAGGAGGCTGTAAATATTCAGGAGGCAGTGGCAGAGATTTGTGCGACCCCCTCCCCCCACCGCCCCTCCCCCTCCGCCCCTCTCCCCCTCACGCTCTCTCTCTCTCTCTCTCTCTCTCTCTCTCTCTCACACACACACACACACACACACACACACACACACACACACACACTCTATTACTACATACACTTGAGTAGTTAGTCGCCACTGTATAATCTACTTCTCTTTATTAGGTCTTTGTTATTTTTTTATCATTTTATTTCTTCTAGGCTGGTTTTGATCACATCTTTCAGGATCGTATTAAACAGAAAATTTTAGTTGGTTATTTAATTTTTTTTTTTATAAAACGAAAGAAAACTTTATTCTGGGACGCTCGTTCGCATAAGAATAATATAAATGACAAAAATTATATAGATATTTTTTTCTAGCTTCAGATAGTATTGATTAAATGAATATATTATAAAATTAAGAGATTAAATACAATTATAAGAGAAAAGAAAAAGATTAATTAATAAATTACAAACACATATATAATTTGTTATTTTTACACATCTTGCACCAATAAACAATGAAAATGATTGTAATGAAGTAGCTATAGAATATTGTTACTGAAAACATACAAAAAGACAAACAAAATAAATAAAAAGATCTTACATATATGTGAAAGATGGATAATTCAGAAGTTGGAAAAATATTTTATGTTTAAATGAAATTAAGCAGATGTCTCTAGAGGCATAGAAACACGAAATCCGAGGCTGTTTAAAAACAGCAATGGATTTTCTATCTTTATGAATAAGATTGTGTTATAAAAATCATTTAAATTACTAAAATCTTAACTTAATTATTTTTTTAATTTTTCAACCAACATCATACCGATTTATTTTATGGAATATATATTTAAGTTTAGGAAAAATATTTTAAGTGTACAGGTTGTTTGGTAAAAAAAGTGTATATTTTTATTTATAGTCACAATACTTTTTTCCAAATTAACTATTTCTCTAAGAAATGGTTCATGCTTAGAAACATTTAAAAATCGTCAAAAAATAGTGAGTTTAAATCACTTTAGATCGAGATCAAGGTATTGTAAATCTAAAAATGTTTACAAACGCTTTGTTATTTTTCTACTCTTCTTTTTTTTCTGTTGACGATTTGTCTTTTTGGTCTGTTGGTCTCCAAAAAAAAAAATGTGTGATATCATAACATTTTTATTACTTCGTTTCGTCTTAGGTTATTATATAATTGCACACCCAAAAACATAATTTAAAAAATTACACAATTATTTATTATTATCTTAATAGTATTGAAGCTGTTATTTATTTTTTTCTCATATCTGAATATTCCTGTTTTATTGAAAATGTATACCACGAATTTTATCTCCTCACAAATCAATGTAGAAATAATATAAAAGTTTATTAATAGATAATCTAACTGATAAATAATTCCAAGTTATTGATATAATGTTTGCTGCAAAACTTCCAATTGAAAAAAAATAATAAATGTTTGAGAAAAGAATTTTTGTGATGGAAAAAAAAATTAAACAAAACCGTAAAATTTATAAACATAAAAAAAAATCAAAACTAAGTTTCAAGTACATTTTTTAAAAAATGCGGAGTTCGCTGAAGTTCAGTTGCCATCCACTCTACGTTTACTGCATTTTTATTTTATTTTATTTTTTTTTGAGATTCGCTTATCACCATTGAAGTCTTAAAATTGTTTCAACAACAGTTAACTTTGTTTGAAGAACGAGAGTCCCTTAAAATAAGGGATGGATTTTTTGTAACAAGGATTTTTTTTTTTTCAGCACAACAAAAACTAACAGAGAACAATTTAATGTCACAATTGCATAAAAATAATTGATACAACAAAATGCAGAAATAATAATAAGGTCAGATGTTCCGTAAAAAAAACAAAAACAAATCCAGCTGTTAAATTTTTTTTCCAGGAAACAGAAGTATACTACGTCAATATGAATATTTAAGTACCAAATTTAATACAGATTTTAAATTATATATAAATTTCCATCGAATGAACTAAAATTTATTATTATTTTTTTAAATTTTGAATGTTGAAATGCACAAAAAGATAGGTTGCGTTTTTTGGACATATGGGCATATAGGACATGGGACATATGTTAATATTGTGACAAACATATGATTATTATTAGATATGGTTATATTTGATCAATTCTACTGAATTTTTACCGCTCTACTCATTTGATTGATATACGAAACACAATATATATCCATATACAGTACCTCTAGAAGTAGCTTACTTAATCCATTGTATACTACAAATAATATGTTTATATTTTATTATTTTATTTTATTTTTATAATGTGTGTATATGTGGATTTCTTTGGCTAATTGTAAATAGTGCACATAGGTTTTTTATAGTGTGAATGTGCTCTCTGAACAGTGTTATAAATGTCCTTTGAGACAAATTGTAATATATCTCAAAAAAAAAAAAAAAAAAAAAAAAAAGATGCATTATTATTTATTTCTTAATTACGCTTTTTGTACGTAATTTAAGTTCAATTTTATAAAATCGTAACTATTGTTTTATACTTATTTTTGAACTAAAATTAATGAACTAAAGAATTACTATTTACTATTGTTTACGAAAACAGGAAATAGAGTGTTCTATCAGTAGTTGCTAATATTATATTTCTCCTAACTCGTTCTTCATTGTTTGCCATAGATGGAGATTTCCTGTCTTCGAAGATGTTCAAGTTGACTGAGTCATTTTTGAGTGTCTGTCTTCGACTAGCATTCTTAAGTATCCTCTCTCTCTTGCTCTCGTGAGATCAGGTTTATGAATATATAGATAGATAGATGGAGAAATCACTTTATTCTGAGACAAAGCCCCTTAAAAATAACAAATTTTTACAGAACAGAGGAATACTTCTGGCCTAGAGAACTACATTA